GTCATTCATCTCATGCAGCTGTCTGGGCTGCTTGCTAAATAATACAGTTTGCCTGTGTCCTGAATGGCTTGCAAATAATGACCAAGTGTTACCAGTGGATCAACAAGGTCTTCTGTAATACTTGGAGATAGAGCTCCAGCACAGTATCCTGTTACAAGAGGTTAGAGTGCTGCCATTGGAGGCAAAGTAGAAGCCTGAAGAATAGGTTGAATTTGAATATATAGAATGTGCATAATGGGGAACTTCAGTAGATTTTCTGACTTTTTACAGTTTCATTCAGTTTTATAGTGTTTATGGGTTGATCATGCAGATCATGGGTTGGTTTCAGTTTATGCCTTGCAATGACATATGTGTTAATACTTTTAGAATAAACCTGTCACAAATCTGGACAATTCAAACAGAGCATGATGATAACAAAGTAAAGTAGAGCATGAGGATAACAAACTAAACGCTTGCAAAAGAATACTTAGTTTTGTTGAGCACTGTAAAAGTAAAACTGAGTTGCATTTTTTATGTTACAAAAATACAGTTTTCCCCTTGCTATGTCTTCTGTCCCTGCACTGTGCACATCCTGTAGACTCATTGTAGGAGCTTCCTGTGCATGTGGGCACCCATCAGTCACAATTTTACTGTAGTGTGTAAAGTAGCATATTCCAGCACACTGTGCAATGGCATGCTTGCTTTATTCCAAGGCCCCTTTCACATGAACGGTCCGATCAGGTCTGCCTGTCAGCCGATCGGACGCTCTAGGGAAGTCTATGGGCAAGCCAGGTTTAAACAGACAAGCGTCTCTTACACCCAGTTAACTCCGACTTCGTACGGTAAAACAGACGGATCATTGATCCGTTTCAATTGACTGGATCGTGCCGGACCGGAGGTAATCTGATGTAAATGGACACATGTCTGTTTACATCAGATTCCCCAAAGGCTTTGCATGGGGACCGGCACTTTTAGTTTTTTTGGGAGGAAAAAAGTGTATGGACACGGATGTCACACCAGTGACATCCTCTCCATGCCACTCTGATCAGGAGAGGATCTGTTGATGGATCCTCTTCTGATCGGCCAGTGTGAAGGAGGGTGTAGGAAAGGGTGGCAACAATGCAGCTGAATGAAGTAAGGACCCTTTCACAGGAGTCATCAGTTCAGCCAAGGTTCACGGATACAAAATTCCGTTTACATCAATTTGCACATCCATTGTCAGTTCAGTTTACATCTGTTTTTTTACGTGTCCGTTTTGGGGCCTTTTGTTATTTATAGTATGGAAAATTCCCATGATTCTTGCTATGCTGCATTAGGACATCAGTCCCACAAAACGGACGTAACCTGAACTGATCAGTCAAAACTGAGAGCAGATCTGTCCCAAATTACAGACCTCAACTGACACTGTTTCCTGATGTGAACTGATGGCCATCAGTTTTTATCTGAACTGCCATAGCGATGCATTGTTGTCCGTTTTCCATCTGCAAATGGAGGCTTGCAAACCTGGCAACCTGAACGCTCGTGTAAAAGGGGCCTAAGCGTTGTCCCCCTTTGACAGGAAGTGTAAGTTGATGCACCTTTCTGCTATGATTAATCTAAAAAGCAGGATGTATAACGGGATTAAACATTTGAACATTACAGAAACATGCAAACATTTTTCGTTTTTTATATCTTTGGGTTTTGATACACTTTAAGCACAGATTACCGTTATTAAAACTCACGTCAAGATATTACGTAGATTCAGTGATGTGTAGCTAAAGTTTATTAGATCAAGAAAAGTCAAACTTCAGAGGCTAAAGCTGACCATACAATCATAGTGGGTTTTTTTTTCTGTGTAGCCCCGAGGGCTGAACAAGATAAAAATTATCAATTCCCCTATCCACGATATACAGTTTATACAGGTGGTGGAATGTTCTCTGCCTGGCTATTGTGTTCTAACAGCCATAAGAATACCCAAACAGCGACTGGGGCTGATTGGCAAATACGTTGGGCCCAACGCCTTCCACAAAAATTTATAAAAAAACAGAGTGATGCTGAAATGGCCACCCACAGTTCGAACTTCAACATTTAAGCAGTGTATTGCCTGCTTAAGGAGTTGGCAGAGGCTGGTGCCAAGCTCCGCTCTTACTATTAACATGCGGCTTTCACTGAAGGCAACCCTTTTCTTTTTTTCTTGTAAGACTTGCCCAGGTTTGTAATGGGACCATTTCAAATATATGCCTTTTTTTAAGGCTAGGAAACAAATGTTTTGTTATCCAGTTTAGTAAATATGCCATAATGGGATTGAATTGTAGTATTTTCTTCTGAAACAGTATAAGTAGCTAACTTGCTTTGCACACATGTAGCTCCTACTCCTTCAGCAGGGCTCTGCTAATCCAAATTGCTGGGCAGCCGATGTGCTTAAACAAATCATTGTTCAGCATTTGGAGCCGTTGAATAGATGCATGTTTTCTTTGGCTCTTAAAAGAAGGAGCAGATCCACATTAATATTTATCAATGACTCTGTTTTATTGAGTTGAGTGACATCAATGAAATATATCTCCAGGGTGTATATGCTTAAAGTGAAATTGCCCTTTTTTTTGTATGGTCCCAGATTTTATATAGTTCGGTACCAGATTTTGCAAACTCTACTGTTGATGATTTCCTTTCTTTTCTGTAGATGTTGAGACAGGGCATTACAATGCACTTGAATGCATTTCCCACCGTCAATGCAAAGTTTTCTGGATTTATGTAATAGTATAGTTGGTCCCAAAGTTGCGATAAGAGACTTTGCACCCCCCAGTATCTCTTTACAGGTGCAGCCCTTTAACCAAAAAAGGAATTGTACATCCAGCTCAATTTGACCTTTTGTAATCTGACCCCAAGCTCTGTGTAGATTTCTGGCAAAGGCATTGAAACCATTACTTGAGCAGGTGGATGAAAATTCTGGGATGTCCTGTCTACAAATAAGTACTGTTGCGAATGTTGCAAGGAAAGTACATTTACATTTTTTGGCACAAAAATCATGTCTGGTTGTAGATTGAGGCCCCATTCACACCAGATGCATTGGCATCCATTTTACAATGGATGCCAACGCAAGGACATCTGAAAATATTAATGGGTGTGAATGGGAGCAGTCCACACCTGTATTTTGTGTTGCATTACGCTGCCTTCCGCTGAAAAAAACTAGACCAGGCTCTACTCCTTTTTTTTTTCCAGCACAATGCAATGGACTGGTGTGAACTGCTAACATATGGCAGAATCAATACCTTTTATAAAGCTTAGTGTAAAAAAATCAAACCAAGGACCCATGTCCATGTACTGCGCAAACTCAAGTCAACTTACCTTCATAGACTTGTGTTTTTGGCTCTGATTCCGGTGTGAATGCACACTAAAATGTAATCAATCTTTCAGCAGAAGTGACTACTTTTAACTGAGATCTGAATAACTGCTAGAGGTTGTTTTCCTTTGTTTAATGTATACAATATATGTGTGTGGTTGTACTTTCTAAATGTGCCAAAACAGTGGAGCTTTTTGGGGCCTGTTTTACTGGGTTGTTTGGATGGCACTTTAGTTGATCATTATCAGGATTATATGATCTCCCAGTTTGCATAAGTACTCCATGCATCCATATAAACCTTATTTATATCCATTATTGAGAAGTCCACCTCTTCTGCCATGAAGGTAAATTGCAGAAAGTGACTGTAGCCACTTTGAAAATTGTTTTATACATGTTTAATATTAAAAAACGTATTACTCCCTGTCAAGCGGAAATTCATTTTACCAAATAATGAGAAGCCATTTGTTCACTCTTTAATTGGCATTAGTATGTTGTATCTACTACCTACAAAGTTACAGGTACGAGTGTTATGACAACATTTGTATGAATGGCGTGCATGTGTTCTTTTTTTGGGGTGCTGCTTCTTTACAACTCCCCTTTGAACATTTACCCTCTAACAGTCCTTGGTTATGGATTCTATATATCCATATTTTTCCTCTATCAATCTTAAGTAACAGCTTGGCAGTTTGGAAAGTCTACAAGAGCTGGTTGATTATGTTACTAAAGGCACATTTGGATCCATATCATGGTCTCAAAAATTTTCTGTTACTTCAACACATATTTAGCAAAGCCAACCACACTTTCAGATGAAGCCTTTTCACCACATCTCCATATTAAAAACATAGATCCATAATTTTGGAGAGGAGGAATTTTTATCACTGAGCTATGGCAATAAGCTGCTCTTCGTGTGGTTATTACGTTTGCTGGCTGTGCAGATTTGCCTCCTGCCATCCCAATAAAAATAGATTAAATGGAATGAATAATTTCACAGTTTATGGAAATTGGGAATAAGGAGGCTGAATTACACTTTTTTAATATGTTTTGCAAAGTGAAATTTGTATCACAGTTGGAGGCCAATGTGATGAAAAAAACAGACATGGCTGTTGCAAAAATGGCTGATTGGAGTTGTTTTTTTTTTATTGCATATTTATTCTTATTAAACTATATAGTGCCAACATGTTTCTCGGCACCTTGTAGATTACATAGAAACAGCCACATCAGTACCTGGCCCAGCAGAGTTTAAAGTTTTTAATGTCCCTACCAGAGTCATACATATACACACAAGGACCATTTATGCTTTTAGCATTCTAACCCTCTGGTATGTTTTTGTACTGTGGGAGGAAACACAAGTTGACCCTAGTGGGATTTTAATATGTGATCTTGAACTTGTAAACTAATGCACTGCCCGACGTGTTCTGTAAACATTTTACCTTTTCAAAGACCTTTGCCAAAATTATGTCTATAGTTCCAACTAATTAGTTTGCAAACTATTGACACCGCCTTGCCATATTTTCCTGCCTTCCAAATGCGATAGATTGAGCAGCTAAACGGGATTGGAATCTTCCACTGATCTACCCTCACAAAACTAGAAGCCGATTCCTATGGGTTATTTCTTTTTACATATGATAACGTTCCTTGGCATTGGTGTATTTAATGACCAAACAATGTACAGACTGATATTTACCCTGGTACTAATCTTTTGCAGGACCTCCAACGCAGAATTTGGAACCACATAGTGGTACGTTCGTCTCATGCTTGCTCACAGCCAGTCGGATGGGGTCGTTCATGGTGTGGCGCTCAGGAAAAGCATGGGGCGGATTCACTGACAGCATGCTTCTTCTTTGCTTGTTCTCGGTCAGTTTGGCAATCGCCCGTCCATCTTATAGTAATGTAGAGGAAGCCACTGTAGAACCAGAAGGTAAGCGAGAACCCTAACTAATCCGAATACTGTGATCAAATGCTATTGCCTCGTTTACATAATCTATTGTTACAGTTCTCAATGTTGTAAATTTGTCTACATATTGGCATCTCTGCTTGATCAGTTTAGCAAAAATCATTTGGATAAAATAATTTTTCTGCTAAGGTAGTGACCATGGATGTATATATAATGGCTGAATATATGTAATCCAGCCATCAAGAAATATTTTTAGACATGCATGCTTGTAGTGTGAGGGTACGCGTTTGACCTTTCAATTCCAGTCTGTATTTATCCATGACCATAACTGGCAAAACAGTTACATTTCTTTTCTTTTTTTAAACTATATAAATGGTATTCAGGTTTTTTTTGTTTTTGTTTTTTACAGGATTTCTTTCTCTAAGTCCTTATCCCCTTCTGATGCGATTGGCTTACTGCCTCACCCCAAAAAATACATCAAACAAGTTGTAAACATCTGGTTTTATGATATATAGGATCCCCAGTGATGTTAGACTTGCTATGCTGGAGGTTTTGTGGTTGGTTAGGTAGTTGTATGCATAAAAAGATTCTAGGAGTGCAGTGCTATTATTACAACACTGGGGATAATCATGTGTGCAAATTCTTCCATTAAAAGAGAACTATGAGGTGAGTGATTTTCACTCAACCTCATGGTTCGAGCCGACGTGTGACAATGAAACGGTCACACGTCAGCTCAATAGATCGGGAAGTGAGTGAACGCATACCGTCTCTCGCTCACTTCTCGATCATGTCCCTGCAGAGAGCGGTGGCTGTCGCTCACGGCTCCCTGCAGGGGTTCCCCCCCCTCCCCTGTTCGATCCTCCAGCACTGACTGGTGGAACGGATGGGGAAGGGGGCGGGCACAGCTGGTTCTGCCTCCAGATAGGCAGAGCCAGCTGTCACGCAGCTGGGTGGATCTCAATAGTAATGTCGGGATCCGTCCCGACTGCGGCGGTCTCAGTATAACGCGAGCTGTAGATAGCAATATACTGAGCTTTGGGTCACAGCAGGATGATAGTTTATGTCCTCCCGTTACCCTTAAGAGAACTATGGGGAAAAACACTTACTTACCTCATAGATTTCCTTTAAGTACTGGAATAGTCCTACATCATTATTTCAGAACAGAGGCAAGTGGGAATCTCTACTAGATTGGCATGTACTAATGCTACCATGAACTTGGGATAAGGTGGACTTGGTGATATATTAGCTGATGGTAAAGCAAGTAACAAATCCCGACTCCCTGTATCCCAAGTATCCTGGATACTTGGTAAGAAGATTGCGGTCACTATGCAGTGATACCGCCGGTATCTGGCTTTTTTAAACCAGCAATTCTACTACCTATTGTTTTAGGTTTTAACTTCTTCACTTTTTAGTTATTCTGTTTAAAATCCCCAGTTACTGTGCTGTTATCTTCTAAGCCAGTGCTCCCCAACCTTTTTATCGCCGCGGACCGGTCAACGTTTAATAATTTTACCGTGGCCCGCTGAGGGGGGGGGGGGGCGTTGATTGTTTATATTTTATAATATATATATATCATTATTATAATTATAATAATATATATATAGAGTCACAGGACCCGCCCCCTCACTGTGAAGCCTGTCGGCAGTGCGGGGCCCCGGTGTTCGAACACCGGGACCCTGCACTGCCCCATATTGCAGGACCGCACTGAGACTATCATTAATCAGGATAGCACTTAACTGAGCATTTGATGAAACACATAGGATGCTTTGGTTCCAACCATTTCCACCTACTCAACCCTCCCTTTTTGATGTTTGAAACCACCAATTACATTAAAGGACCAACAGTAAGCCTAAAGGAGGAGGGATGGAAACAGTTTCTGCCTTTTACAGATTAAAAGTCATGATTTGCACAGAACTGCCAATATCTATGGACCTACTGACTGTTCTGTCCCATGGCTTTTACTGAAGGTAACCTCTGCTTATGTGTTTTTGATCATATGTTCTGTTTGGATTTGCCAGGTTTATTTTAAACTGGATTCTCCCTCTTTCCTCATCACGCTCGATAATAAAGGGCTGGCACATGGAGGGGCTTTTAATGCACAGTACATTCTCAGCCAGGACCACTTCAGGAAACTTGTACAGGCCACAGTAGTTCACCATACCTTTGCATGGGCTGGCTAGAAAATTATGTCATAGTTGATTTAAAAAAGTGATTGACAATGTGTAGAGTCTGCATTATATGCATTCTTTTCCATCACACAGTTTATAGAAAGGTATTGAGCTATGCAAGGCCAAGCTACGCCCTCACAATTCTGATGGGAAAGATTCATCACTCATCTTATTGCCCTTTAAGTTGGACCTCTATCAGGAATTTCTTCCCTTGCCCAGGGGTAACCTTTTGTAAGCCCTTTATGTTGATTGTCCTGCAGGGGACACTTAGACATCAGATACATCAGAGTGCATGGCTCTCAGTGCACTGTAGAGTCTAGGCTGTCAGTCTGTCTGAGACATGAAACTTTGAAAGGTATGGGAGCAATGCAGCTCAGCCTGTCTGTAATGTCTGTTGAGAAGAGCACCACACCTAAAGCTGACAAATTTTCCCTCCAGCACTACACAGATTGAATGATCAGGTCCTCCCACTTCCCCACACTCCAAATAAAGTAGAAGCAGCAGTAGTGATAATAATCATAAACTATGTGGTTTTAATGGGACATGCATCATTATTATGTATCATTTTCTGGATGTTGTGATGTAATGTTTTATCCTTTGAAAAATACAATACAATCTCTTTTTAATGTATCCAGGGATACCAAGCAACTTTGCACATATAACCTCATACCTTTTTTTCCCATGTGCTTTGAGAGCTGTGAGAAAATGCCCAGGCCATTGTAAACATTGCATTGTTTATGTGCAGAATGTCTGCACTGTTAGGCTCCATTCACACATGAGTGGTTTTCCGTGAGTATTCGCGCATACGAATATGTTCGGAAACGTGCTAAACATAAAAACCAATGCATTGCAATGTTAAGACTATTGTGATGGCCGCACGGTACCAAACCACGCGTCCCGCAAAATAGTAGAAGCACTATTTTATGGGCGTATTACGCACGTTCTAGCTATAGTGATTACCAGAAAACATGCGGAATCCGGGCATATGTTACCGTTCGCGCAGAAACAGCTATGTGTGAATGGAGCCTTAATGCAGAGTGAGAATAGCAGGTGCTTTGCATACCTGTTTGATTCAGTGGGACCATTTATGAATATATAAAGCGTACAATGATATACGCTCATGCAATCACTGGAGATGACAGACTGCCAGCATTCAATATTATAGCCATATTTGAATTGGTTGGATTGATTTTGGTTTGAAGTGTAAGGAAACTGACTGCAAGTTAGTTGATGCAAGATTGTTTTGTATGTGCTGTTTCCCAGGTGCAGTGCGAGTAGTATGGTTGATATATTTGCAGTGCAAAGCTTTGTTCTTTATTAATCTGACTCTTTTGCTTGCCAAAAAATGCAAAGCTTGGCTCCTGCAATAGATGACTTTGAATCCTGACCTCTCCCATGTGTAGTGAGTCTGAACTCTGCTGTCTTTAAGCAGCACAGGCTCCAGCATTTAACATTACATCACTGCAGGGTCCCATATTAGGGTTGCCACCTTTTCTTCAAGCCAAACCCGAACACTGTAGCGCCTTGCGGCAATTTTTTGGTAAAGTACACTATGCATGTATTTTGTGATTTAAATAACATTGGAGGTAATCACAAAGATGCCAGTGTGCCACAGGACCCCAGATAAATATTGATGTAGGGGCCCAGCAGGAGGAACCACAGTGTGCAGAAGGGGACACAGGCATTCAACACTCCGTGTCAGATAGATATAAGTTTCACTACTGAAATTTCTATATGTTAACACATTTGGGAAAGTTATTCGCAACTCTTTCACCTACAGTAACCAATAATTTGTTTACTGTGTTTTAAAGCAGACCTGTACTGGCATAAAGCTTCTTTTAACTAGCTTCCAGATGATGAGTACTTATCTAGAAGTGCCTGAATGCATCGTCTGTTGTCTTCAGAGTGCCCAAGGAGCCCCTAAATGTTGAGTTCCTTTTCTGAATTTGGCACTTTAACCCTCCCCCTACCCACTGGCGCTTTGCTATTGGACAATGAGGACATCCTCCACATTTACTAGCCAAAAGCAAGGCAGAGGAGGTTGAAAGGGATGAGTTAAAGTTCTTAATTCTTAGCATGAAGGTGGTATTTTTCATAATAAGACTCCCAAGGATTATTGGTTTCAGACTTTGTAAAAGAAAATTGACCCTACAAGTAGACACTTGGTTGGCACTTATAGTCCAGATGCCAGTTTCATGGAACTTGTAACCAGTACATGTTCCGTTTACATGTAGTTTTATTTTATACCTTGCCAGTACTGGACAATATGTGACTCCATATTACCAAACCTTACCGATAAACAGCTTGTGCTCAGATGTCAGGAGTCCAACTCTCACATAGAAGTATACTATTGTCTTATACATCATGTTGTCAGGGTAGGAAGTAATGTCCACTGTTATTAGAGAATTCAATAGTTGTAATAGAAGTAGTCTGAACATATCCTACATGCCTGTTTCTTTTGACATGTAATTGTTTTAGTTTTCTCACCTCGAGGCATGCATAGAGCACTCATTTTCCTATGAAACCCCTCAAGTAGAAATATGTTGGCCTGAAAGGTATTAGTGATATATATATATATATATATATATATA